GCTCACTCACTCACTCACTCACTCACTCACTCACTCACTCACTCACTCACTCACTCACTCACTCACTCACTCATTCACTCACCCACCCACCCACCCATCCATCCATTCATTCATTCATTCATTCATTCATCATTCATTCATTCATTCATTCATCATTCATTCATAAATAAATTGATATATTTGTTATATCAGTCTTACTAGCACTATAACAAAAACTACTCTTATTTCTACTTCTCCTACTACTACTACTACTACTACTTTTACTATTACTACTACTACTACTACTACTGCTGCTGCTGCTACTTCTACTACTATTACTACTACTACTACTACTACTATCAATAAAAAGAGTAATAATGTATTTTTCAGTGTTTTAATACTTATGGCGATTTGTAACAATGCAGTCTTGGGGTGGGTAGTACGAAATGTTTGGTGATCAGCTTTGGTTTGGTTAGTACGGACTTTGCGGCACGGATGTTCAATAACATGTCTAGTGCAGAAAAAAAACGTTTGACACAGCCGTAATATAAAAATAACCAAAAAATCTTTAGTAATGTAATGTAAAGTAATGTAATGTAATACTATGTAATGCAATGTAAAGATGTGTAATGTTTGACACAGCAGTAATATATAGTAATATAAATCTTTAGTAATGTAAAGCAATGTAATGTAATGCAATGTAAAAAATATGTAATGTAATGTAAAGCTATGTAATGTAATGAAATGTACTGTAATTTATTGTAATAAAGTGTAATACAATGTAAAGATATGTAATGCAATGTAATGTAAAGTAAAGAAATGTAAAGATATGTAATGTGATGAATAGTATTGTAATGCTATGTAATGTAAAGTAATGAAATATAATGTAATGTAATGTAGCGTAATACAATGTAAAGATATGTAATGCAAAGTAATAAAATGTAATGTAATGTATTGTAGTGTAATATAATGTAATGTAAAGTATTGTAATGTAATGTAATGCAATGTAATGCAACTGATGGTACTGCACTGCACGTTATGGCGTGGTCTAGAGCTAAAAATAGATCACGATCACGTGACGTTCGAAGACGGTGGTCTGATGATGCAACACCAGTGCATCTTTGTTTGCACGTTTTCGGGTGCTATCTGAGTCAGTGCTAGAGCGTGCGTATGTCTGTGTGTGCGTCTGTGTGTGCGTGCGTGTGTGTGTGTGTGTGTCTGTATCTTTCTGCCTTTATTAATCTGCCTCTTTGTCTGTCTAGAGACATTCATTCGTCCATCTGGATATTGATATTTAATTATCTATGATCCTCTGTGTGTGTGTGTGTGTGTGTGTGTGTGTGTGTGGTGTGCGTGTGTGGTGTGCTTGTGTGGTGTGTGTGTGTTGATGGTTTCTCAATTGTGTGCCAATGAATTTCACGTGTCTCTCTGTGCATGTACGTCTGTTTATCTGGATGTGTTTCTTTCTATGTGCGTGTGTGTAAGTATTTGTGCGACTGTTTGTTTGTGTTTGTGTGTGTGTGTGTATTCGTTCGTGCGTACGTGAAAGAGTGAGTGTGTGAATCAAGTGGCTTCAATTAAGTTTTCGAACACTCAAAAATGAATAAAGTACAATGTAGCTGATCCTCTGAACGCCAACCAACCGAGCAACTCATTTACGGATAGGTTAGAGATATCAAGCCAGTCAACACACACACATACATATACATACATAATACACGCACATACAAACACGCACACATACACGCACAGACACACACACACGTACTCACAAATAAACATAACTGTTTTCAGTATAAATTATTATGTCAGCACCAATCATAATTATTATTTCTTCAATCTTTTTACTATTATTATTTTGATTATTAATAAATTTTTAAGACTTAAAATAATTTTTTTTTAATTTTTAAATGTCATTATTATAATTAAAATTTTAAAGTTAATTTTTTTCATCTTAAAATATAATTTTCAGCAGAATCCAAAAATTGCAACTGACTCATGAATGTCACGCCATAGGGCACGTTCCAGTTCACTTCGTGCGTTCGTACGCTGTTAGAAAAGAGACAAAAAAATTCTTTAATTGGAAGTTCAGAAAAAAATATTATTAAAACCGTGAGAATTTGCCAAAAAAAGCAAGTGCACTTTTTGAGATTTTAAACCGACGGATGCACACACTACAAACATGAAAACTCGCATACTGGCGAACATACATACAAACCAACAGACAAACATGAGAACAAACATACAAACCAACAGACAAACATGAGAACAAACATACAAACCAACAGACAAACATGAGAACAAACATACAAACCAACAGACAAACATGAGAACAAACATACAAACCAACAGACAAACATGAGAACAAACATACAAACCAACAGACAAACATGAGAACAAACATACAAACCAACAGACAAACACGAGAACAAACATACAAACCAACAGACAAACATGAGTACAAACATACAAAAACATAAACAATCCTGCAAATATTTATACGCACAAAACCACATAAATATGTACCTTACCAACAAACAAAATCAAACATAATTTATACGTATATACAAGAATACTCCACACAAACATACAAACATAAAGTTGTGTGTAAATACATGCTACAAACATACAATTATTGGTACATACAAATATATATATATATATACATATTTACATACATACATACTTACATATATACATATTTATTAATTATTTATAAAATTTTTAAAATGTTGCACCAAAGTTTGAACTAATAATCTTTTCTCTCTCTCTATCTCTTTCACACACACACATGCACACACACACACACACACATATTTGCAAATATATATTTAAATAGACATGCATACCACATATCATGCAATCATTCAATAAAAATTTCTGATGCAATAATCCGAATGATGAAAGTTGCCAGTTTTGTTGCGTGTGGCTGAGTCTGCTATAAATATGTATGTATGTATGTGTGGGTGTGTGTGTGTATGTGTGTGTATGTATGTATGTATGTGTGTGTGCGTGTGTGTATGTATGTATGTGTGTGTGCGTATGTGTATGTATGTATGTATGTATGTATGTATGTATGTATGTATGTATGTATGTATGTATGTATGTACGTATGTATGTATGTATGTATGTACATATGCATTTATCAAAAAAGACATACATTCATATAAAAAATATACATGTATGTGTGTGGAAATGTGTGTATGTATAGTTAGTATGTATAGTATAGTATATAACCGCTTGTTATATACAATACAGTGAGATATGATTAAGAAGGCAGGCGTAGAGCGTATAAATAGTGGGAGTTAAGCACGACTGAACCTTCTTCAATTGAATTTCAAAGATTTTAAATCTCGTCTAGCCCCTGCCAGATTTATTTCATTAAATATTATCATTTGGCTAGCAAACAGAAAATGTATTAACATGGTACTCGAGCGCGATTTCTTCTTGTTTGATCTTTCAATCTTGTTCCACGTGCTTCGAGGGCATCCCAAGTCACGTCTCTACAGATGTCTCCGGAAAGCAGGTTTGCTAAGCAATTTCTTTAAAATTTACTTTCTGTATATTTGAAAAGTTTCTTCCTTATTATACGTTAAAAGTTTTAACCGAAGACACACAGTGCATGTAGATACACTCAAATAAAACTTCCACATACATTGAGTGTGTTGATGGGTAGGGATCTCTATGCGTTCGAACCCGGTTACTGCAACATCGGTGCCAGGCAACTTAATCATTCCAACATTAGATGACTGCTTATTTTTATTTATTCTCCTTTTTGGCACTTGTTTAAATGTTATGCTGATAGTTGTAAAACTTTTAAATTGAAATTGGTCTTAGCATCTCTCTTTCACTCTCTCTCTCAAATTTGATAAAAAAAAGAAATTTTAGATATGCAGGTCCGTGTTATTAAGTAGTATGTCAATACAAATAGTAATCAAATTACTATTCGCCAATTTATTTCATTTAAGAATACTATTTCAAGTTGAAATAAACTCAAACCCCCACGACCAAGCAGAACGGCAAGGATGTGCAGTACAATATCTCTGACGATGGTGATGGTGGTGACGATGTTGTTCGTGACCTGCACCGCGGCTCCCACCCTCATTATCCCCAACATCATGGCCGGTGGCGGCAGTAGTAAGAGTGGTAGTAGAAGTGGCGGCAGTAGTAGCGGCAAGGGCGATGATGTTGGTCTCTTCAATGGATTGGGAAGTTACGACCTGCTCGATGATGGTCAGTAGTACGTTAAACATCATTTAAAATTTAGTTTGGAATTTTTTAATGTTTCTGATTCTTGAATATTCATTTAAAATTTAGTAATGAATGTTTTAATGTAAATTAAATTGATATTATTTTTTATTTTTGTTATTTATATTTATTTATATTTTAAAATAATTAAAATGGGACAGAAAATTAAATTACAAATTAAACCACAACCCAGAATGGAGAAGCGGTGACAGTGATGTTGACGACGATGACGACGACGATGATGAAGAAGAGGATGATAATGATGATGTTAATGAAGAAGATATTGATGATAGTGCTGATAACGATAATGATGGAGACGACGTCGAACTCAGTGATACGGTTAGCCAGACTTTAAAGATTTTGTCGCCATTTCAATCGCCGAGCCACTTCTAGCTTATTTCAATAAAACGCCAAATCATTTATTATTATTATTATTCAGTATTTTTTCTGATTTAATTAATTAGTAATATTTTTTTATTGATTATTTGATTTAGATGTTGACATTTTTGAGTTATTTCAAATTTCGCAAGTACAAATTAAATTAATTTGTGAGCTACTGATTAAATTTTAGACTGCCGTATACTAAACTAGATTCAGTGAATATAGTATGGTAACGTAGGAATTGAAATTAAACCTGAGTAATGAATTTTAATGTTCACGTCTTATTTAATTTTACTTTAAAATTAATTGTCGGTTGTAAAATGTATTTCAAATGAGTCAACATCAATTCACAATGCAGAAGCTTCGAGAAATGCTTTCCGGCTTACATCGACAGGAACTTGGGGGTTTAAAAAACCAACAACGACTTCACCATCGTAATCGTCACCACGATTCTCATCATAATCATATTCATCAAGATCATCATCACAATCATCATGATGACCGTCATCGCAGTAATCATCATCGTCACCATCAGCACGAACTAAACACGGAACCATCAATGGAAAACGGACGAAGGCTCTCACAACGGACCATCAAACAATTCATCGGCGAAATCATCCTCATGAAACAAATCATCATCTCTCTTCTCAAACGACAACAACAACAACGACAGCAACAGTCGCAACAACAACAACATCAGCAGCAGGAACAGACACAATCGCAGAAGCAACAACGATTTCTGTTAAGTCATGGCGTTAACAAAGTCGAGAATGAAAATAATTTACCAGAGAAAAAACTGTCATCATACCAACAGGGCTGGGAGCGTTTTGAAAAATTGGAAAACATGGTAAACAAAGGCATCAAAAGTCTCATAAAACAAATCAAGCTCTCCCTCCTAGAACCATCCAAACACGACGACGACGAAAATAAAATAACTTTGCGTCGCAATCATCAAAGACGCAATAAGAAACATAATCACGAAAAAAATTTAAGAAAGCTGAGCGAGGTTCACAGCCACCTACTGAAGCATTACCAAACACTGACCAAGCAGGACCGCGACCACCAGCGTCCAAGACCAAGGCGGCACAAGAGACATGAGAGCCAGCCGATCAACAACTTGGTGGCTTCGGGTTTTGATTGCTGGTTCGAGTTGTGCATGTCCCTGAACCTCTCTAACTGCGTCGTAGAGTGATTGATGATTACTTCATTTCCAGGTCTAAACGGAGAAAAATTAGATCACTGGATGATATTAAATACGTCACGCGCATCAATTTAACTTAATAACAAATTCGATTCAAAAAATACTCGGTACAGTGTTTCTTTTTCATTATGTAAGTATCGTGGCTCCGTACATTGATGAGTTTGTTTATTTTATTTTAGTTAAAATTTTTGTAGACAACATCTTTATTAGGAGTGCTTATTCTTGTAGAAGTTCATCATATATATATTTGCTTGAGGATTATTTTGTTGAGTTCATTTTCATGTATTTTTATTTATTACGAAAACTGTTTTTATGGAGGTTTAATTCTCTCTATAATAATAATTTGTTATATATATATATATATATATATATATAATGTTATATAATGATCATGTTTACATGTAACTAAGAGTGCAATCTTCAGGAAATATGGAAATTTTATTTTATTGCAACAAACTATATATAGACCGCATCTTTTTTTTGTTTAATTTACTTTTTTTTTCTTCGGCTTGAATTTGCAATAAACGTATTTGAAAAAGCGTACTATGAACATGGTAGAATAAAAAATGAAAACAACTACAAAAATGAAGACAGCAATGATTGCAGCGAAGACATCGAACATAAAAAATTGTAAGGCGTTCAGTTCAAATGCGCTGCTTCTTAAATGATTGTCTCCATATTCCAGCACTTGCTCAATCAATCGGCTCACTCTCTTCCCAACAGCAACTGGCTTATCTCGAAGAATTTCTGAATAAAATTCTGCATTCTTTTTGTAGGTCGAGTTAGCGGCAATAACGTTTTTGATATTTGTGATGAAATCATTCACTGAAAGGCTGTTGTCAAGTGGCATGGTCAGGGCGTATCCTTTCTTAACCGCCATGGCTGCGTTGCTTATTTGATCTATACCTATCGGGACGACTATTATTGGTTTTTTGTGGTTTACCGATTCGATGATGCTGTTCAGACCGCCGTGTGTGATGAAAAGTTTGGTGGCTTGGTGACCGAGTACATCGTTCTGGGGGAACCAGTTCTGAATCAATATATTTTTAGCATCTGGACAAACCACGCTCAATGGTTTGCTGAGCTTCCACAGAAAGCCCAAGCGATCGTCGAAATGTTTAAATATCTTGCAATAGTTTTCAATAATCGAGTCGGGAACTTGATTGAAAAATGATCCAAATGAAACAAACACAATTCCATCTTTTTGACCAAATTTATTTACAAAATCTGCAATTGGTCCTTCAGGTAGTGGTTTAGCATCTCTGATCATTACATCTCCCACACTCAGCGTGTTGGGCATCAGTGCATTCGGATGACCAACCGATATATCTTCCAGTAAAAACCACAATCTGGATTGTTGCATTATGCTCATACTGTCCAAATATAAAATGTCATCCTTTTCACAACTTAAAATGTTAGATTTTTTGTAATCAAAATTGTTATAATCATCGTTATCTCCTAAATCAGCTTCCATGAGATATTTTTTTATGTACATATTCTCTTGAGTGCTCGAGTAAACATAGTAAATTCCAATTTCTTGTACGAAGGTGAACAAACGTTCGTAGAACGTCATTCTATCCGTCGTTGAATCTGAATAGAACGGCGTGAAACTGGCCAACCTCGGCACTCTGAAGAGCCACGTAGTAAATGGAATGGAAAAGGTTGCGAAAGGTGCTTTCAACAGCAACGGCAACACGTCCGCACAGTCTGGAGCAATGAAATCGACAATGACAAATTGGAATTTGTGTTTTTTGAGAGATAGTATCAACTCTCTATTTCCTATGACGTCTAAACATTCCTCTTCCAGAGCTACCTTCGCTCCTTCTTCGAGTTGAAGTGACTTCCAGTAACGAGTCCAGCTGGACTCTGCTAGAGCAACTTCAACAAGCAGCTGAGACATTTCTGGTCGGTTGGTGTAAGGTACAGTATTCTTGGCGGGAAATATTAAAAATCCAAATGAGCTTGACCCATTGCCTGTCGGTGGGATTCATGGAAATGAATTTTATTTCATTATCGTTTTTTATCCATTTAGATGCCTCTGTGTTTATTAACTAATTGAAAAATTCCATCAAAATTAAGACATTAATAATAAAAATAAGAATACGTTAGAGAGATGAAGTCAGATTAACTCTTAGATTAAGATAAGTTAATTAATGGTTACAACAATAGAAATAATAAACATTTAAAATTATACTAATAACATTATTAAATACATTATTTGAAATGTATTTTTTAAATTATAAATTATAAATAACAACAGCAATAACAACAAAAACGAAGACGACGAATCGTATCATTAACATAAATAAAACATGTCGATAAAAATAATAAACAAAAACAAACAAAAAACACATAATTAACATAATGAGCTAACTTAATTTCGGCAAATTAGGAACTTTGATATTGGAGCCCACGAGAACCTTGACATCGTGACCTTCCTCCGTCAGCTTCTGACCCAAAGTTGAGAAATAAAGGACATGCGAATTTATGCTGCCAGGAGCCAACAAGATCTTCGCAGACCCAACGAAGTGGAAAAGAAAGATTAAAAAGTACAATGTTTCCAACTTTTTCATCATTAGATAATATTAAAAACTAATTATGCCCTACATAGCGTTTTAATTTGATAAATTATAATCTATATTATCTTTTAATACAACTCCTGGTTTCGTTTTCTTTTTTTTTATAAAGAAAGTCGTTTAAAACTGTTTGACATTGTGACACTTCAGTGCAAAATCAACAGCCAGACAACTAATAAAAAACATTTACAAGTCCAAATGTACAAGTGCTCTTGTGTGTGTATATATATATATATATATATATATATATATATATATATATATATATATATATATATAATATGTGTGTGTGTGTGTGAAAAGAAATAGAGAGAGAGAGAAGAGAGAGAGAGAGAGAGAGAGAGAGAGAGAGAGAGCGTGATTGTGAGTAAATAAAAATATTATAATTATATATTATAATTAATGAACAAATATGTAGTCACATATTTGTTCATTAATATTATTACAAATAAGATATAAAAATAATTATATAAATATAAATAATTATATACAATATTACATACATACACACATACATAATAACGTTCACATATTCAACATATTCAATGCATTTATCTACAGCTTCTTAAAAATATTCCTAAAATAGGTCATAATAATTAAAACAATAATGCTAAATTATAAATGCTATTGAAAGCTGTAACTATTTTGGTACGTTACAAGCACTTGGATGCAATATTAATTTAGATTAAGCACATATATTTAAATGTGTTAATATTCACGTACATTTGCTTTTTCTATTTTTGATTTTAATGTAGATAAAATTATGCGCTACAAAATGACTTAATTTTAATAGTTAACTTTTGGTGCTAAGCAACTACGTATTGGTTCCTGCATTATTTTTTTGAAGTTAAAATATTAAAATCAAATAGATAATATCATCATAATTTTATTTAAAGTATTTTTATATTTTTACATTTAATTTATTTCGATGAGTATTGCGGTAAATGTTCAACTAAATGTCATCGTGATTGTCCTAATCGACATCACCATTACCACCATCGTACCATATGTGACGGATAGCGCAATTGTTAGCGGTGGTTCCCTCAGAGACGGGGATGCCATGAGAATGTCCCTGAAGGGGATCGAGAGGACTCTCAGGTACTACCAGGACAACTTCCGGGAGATGAACATTGATGGGATATTTGCTTTGAGATTGATTCAAGGTTTGGGCTGATGTTGTGCTTCTACTGCTACTACTTCTATTACTACTGCTACTGCTACTACTACTGCTACTACTACTACTACTACTACTACTACTACTACTACTACTACTACTACTACTACTATTATTATTATTTCTATTTCTATTACTATGCTACTGACCATTGTTCTATAACTAAAGCATAACAGACAGATATAATGCTACTATTTTATACTAATACTATATCATATGTATATACTAACTACAAACACACACACACACATTTATGTGCACACTAACACAGACAGATGTATTTTTTCTGTTTGTTTCAGTAGTTTTAATAACATTAACATTTCTTTTTATTTACCGCATTTGATGTTTGTTCATCGTTCAATGTTTGCTAAGCCAACTTCAACAAATTAAATAACTAATGACATTATTGATTATTCATTTAATGTTATCATAATGTTGATATGTAGGATTATTTATTAGATTAGCATTAGATAGAACTAGAAAAAATTATTCTTTTAAAAAATAAATTTAACATTAATAAATCTACTGCTATATGTATATGAACAAATTTTATATTATATATTACATTTCTTAAACGAAATTTTACTATAATATAAAATAATTAATAATTCATTATATAATGTACTATTTACTTAAAATATATTCTTGACAACGTCATTAAATGAGTAATATTAGTTTTTAACATAATAATTATAATTATTTGTTATTAGCGTTGACAATGTCTGAAATTTCTAGATCCTAGAATGTACTTATTAAAACTGCAGGACAAGTGTCATCTCTGAAGATGTACCTACAGGCTAACATCCACAACGATGAAGATTTGAAATATTTAAAAAGACTCGAACACATTGCCCTCCTATCAGAAAAAATTGCAAACAAGTCGGTGCCCCATCTGGAAAAAATGGATGACGAAAGTATGAGACTCGTCGGCTGGGTGGTCACCAACCCGTGGACCTATACCTTCAATGATATCAGACTTTTGAATCCAAAATATTTCCAAACATACAAGCCACATCTTTTAGGTTTGTAGACATTCAGCAATTTTCATTTCGTTTTTTTCTATAATTTTTTCCTAATTATTCCTCAGAACACATGGTATATATGAATGCATCCATTTCACAAACATTGTGTTATATACTGTATATTATACTATATAGTATTGTATATAGTATTATATATAAGCTGGCATTTTTTTGCATTCATATCCAGTAAAATCTACAGCAAGACCAGACACCTTAACCACTACACCACATCTTGATGCCTAACTTTAAGAAAATATTTTCATGCTTTCACATAAATGTTTAACGTCACGTTAACAGACCTACTGAATGATTTAGAAGACTTGTCAGACTTTTGCATCGGTGAGATAACAAAATCTTGCCACCTTAAGGATAAGTGCTTGAATTATATTCTGAAAGACGACACCATGTCTTATGAGTTGACTCATCAGTTGCTCAACATCATCATTATTCACATGGTTGGTTGGTTGGTTGATTGGTTTGGTTGGCTTGTTGGTTCTGTTAGTTGGTTGGTTGGTCGGTTGTGGTCGATTGTGGTTGGCTTGGGTTGGCTGGCTGAATGGCTGGTTGATTAGTAGTTTTTTCTTGTTTTCAGTGTGTTTAATTTTATTTTTGTAGAATATCTCGTTATACTATACTATATCTTATATCTTATTATATTTGTATTATATTCATTATATTATATATTTCAATACTTCGTTGTTAAATGTTTTTATTTATACTCACTAGATATATCTTAACATATTTTCTCATGTATTTTTTAAAATTTTATCTTTCAATATTTCTTGTCAAGTTTAATTATATTGTACAATTCAATATATAGTGTAGAACCTTTGTATCATTTTTAAATGTATTTCTGTTTAATATTTTGTTGGATATCTAGCATATATTGGTATATATTATGAAATATTATGGTGTATTTAATTATATTTTTGTTAAGTTTTTAAATATTTGCCTACCAAGCACGTGTGTGTGTGTGTGTGTGTGTGTGTGTGTGTGTGTGTGTGTGTGTGTGTGTGTGTGTGTGTGTGTGTGTGTGTGTGTGTGTGTGTGTGTGTGTGTGTGTGTGTGTGTGTGTGTGTGTGTGTGTGTGTGTGTGTGTGTGTGTGGCGTACTGATTAAAACTTCAATAAACATGCCTATTTAATTTGGCTTGATTTAAATTATTTGAAAATTTTCTCATTAAACAAAACAAAAAAAAACAAAAAAAAAACAGGTAAACTGTACAGATGCAGTCAACAAACAAATCATCAAGCATCATTTAAATAGGAGGCGACACTCGAAGAAGAGCCACAACAACCGCAAAAACGATAACGTCACCGACGACAACAACAACAACTACATCGACCTAGTGACCAGGGATGCGAGGTTGCTGCACAACGACCCTTTGAGGCATCTGGAGGAAAAATATTGCACGTACAGTTTCATTGAGATGAGTATGATCTTGAAGAAGCACGATTCACTCATACCACTGCATCTCATAGACATCTTTGCTGAACATAGTTGGACTGTTTGTTCTTTGCTGCTGTTGTTGTTAAATTGCTGCTGTTGTTGTTGTGTGTGTGTGTGTGTGTGTGTGTGTGTGTGTGTGTGTGTGTGTGTGGCGTACTGATTAAACCTTGTTGCTGCTGTTGTTGTTGTCTTTGCTGCTGCTGTTGTTGTTTCTGCTACAGCAGTTGTTGTTGCTGCTGCTGCTTTTGTTGCTGCTGCTGCTGTTGTTCCTGCTATAGCAGTTGTTGTTGCTGTTGTTGTTTCTGCTACAGCAGTTGTTATTATTGTTGCTGCTGTTGTTTCAATATTTATGTTATTTGTAATTAGTTTTTGTTATCTCTGTTACTACTTAGTCTTAGAGTATTTGCGTCTAAATATTCTACCTTTTTGCGTAAGCTAAATTTGAGATGCTCTCTTAAGAATACGAGATTTTTTTTTCTGATTTTCATTGTCTTCACTATCTCATAATTTCATGCTACAGCATTGAGATAGTGTAATGGTTAAAGCATCTGGTTGTCATTGGTCATACATACTGTTTCAGTTACTGAGTTTGAACAGATGCACATGTGACATACATTGATTCACGCTTATTCACATATGCTTTGTGTGTATGTATATATATATATATATATATATATATATATATATATATATATATTAGGTATATGACTTCAGAACAACACATGCATGGCATACCATCAATTGATGACTTTTTATTGTAAAAACACAAAACCATATCAAAATTATTAAAAAAGTTGAAAAATGTCACCCACTAAACATTTTAAAGTTTTTAAAAAAATTGCCATTTGTCAATTATTTCAAGTATGGTTTCATAAACTTTTATTTGTAAAAATAAAACGTAAATTTAGTTTCTCAGATGAGTGGCAAAGAGGAGCAATATCTTGTAGAACTTTTATTGTTCTTTCTGCACACACATTGCTGCGTTGAGTGTGTATGGAAGATGGACTTTGAGACCAATGAGTTTGAAAACAGCGCAACGCCTTAGGATATCCATTAACAGCATATAAAAGAAATTCATATTGTTCAGTTCTGTAATAATGATCACTAAACCAAGCATCACTCCATTGTCCACAGATAAATTCACACAATTTCTGAAGGTTCTTTCGTTCATCAGGCAATAGTATGAAAGTCAACAATGCAAAAATTGCTCGAGAATTCCATCGGGCATTGCTGATGCCAGGGAGTGCTTTAAAATTAACTTTTGGTATTTTTTGAAAATTTTTAAAATGTTTGAAAACGCAAATTAGGTGGTGCAAAAACTTCATATCATCTCTCCAGCCTACTTCCTGTTCTTTTAGATTTGGAGTACATTTCTTTGCTTTACTTTCAAAATCTTTTTTTAACATTTCATAATCTTTAAGTATCTTACTCACAAATGGATAATTCATGTTAGGAGACTCAGTTGAATCGCCAAGCAATGCATCACACACGTGTCTAAGAACACGATCAAGTATGTGGTGTTGACAACCTATAAAAACTGGCGCAGATTCACCATGTTGAACAAAAAGTTTCTGAAGTCTCACCACAACACCAGACTTTGACCCAGTATTAACATTTGTAGTGTCTGACACTATCATCTTTATAGCTGCCCATAGATTATAATCATCCAACGTTTTTTGAATAGCAGATGCAATAGTAGTAGCTTTTCCATCTGGTAACACTAAGACAGCAAGTCTCACTTCTTTTACTTCATTTCTTAATAGAACTACTTGGTGTTCTTTTTTCTTAATAATTTTACCATCAAAATGTATACACCATGAGCTATTACACAAAGTATTCATTAATGTTTTCATTACTTTACTTGCTTCTCTGTATACCGCTCTATAGACACCTGACTGAGAAGGAGTTGTTATTTTAACACCGGACTTGTTTAAAATTGTGCTAACTATGGCTGCTCTTCGAACTGACAGCTTCCCAGATTGTACTAATGAAACTGCACTAAACATAGACTGTTGAGATTGCTTCAGATGTGTGCTTTGATCAAAGTTTTCAATGGATAACTGTGTTGCTTCAGAGTCATCAGAACTACTTTGGGAATCTTCATTGTCACTTGAGTCATTAGAACTTTCTTCAAAACTGTCTTTTTGTTCTAGTTTATCATTAACTTTTCCAGCAATTTTTCGTTTTGATGGGTGAATTGTACTTTGACTGGCATTTTTTGTTGTTGCATATCCTGTCTTACCTCTACTCTGAATTTGAATTTGGTAAAATTTTTTGTCTTCTGCACATAGCCATTGACCAGTTTTGTTTGTGACATCAAACAACTTATCAAATTATCAAATCACCAACAGGTTTTTTCAAATGAGTATCATACTTTTTAAGTAAAGTTTCAATTTTTCTGCCTACTGAACGCAAAGATAGTATTGGAAAATTCAACAAGCTCCACAATTGCTCTATTTCTTGTCTGAGTGTTGTAATTCTTTTTAATCTAGACTTTTCAGTAGAGGCCAAGCCTAAGTAGCGACCAATTATCATTCACTCTTTTGGCATTCTGGAATGTGAATACAAAGGTTTGATCCCAATGCTGATTTTGTTTCTTCTCTTAAGAGTGTTTTGAAATTTTTTCAAATTACTTGACCATTTGTCTTTATTTTTAGTAACAGAAAGTGAAGATTATTTATAAGACATTTTCCAAAATGAAACGATGTAAAATTAAAATAATTGTTTAAACTGGATTAAAATGCAGAAACACAACATGGAGAACAGAAAAATGAAATTTAATTGTAAACAA